CTGTTGATAGCGCCCATAATTGGCCACGTTTAAGTGCAGTTAATTGATGAGTGCGTGACGTTTTTACAATATTTACACTGTATTTTCCCGTTTATGACTATGATTTATCTAGCTAAGTAAGGACATATAACATTTAAATGTTGCCTAGTCCAACAGGTTTGTTTTCCAGACGTAAGGTTGTGTGTATTATTTTACGTCATGCTTTCTTGAGGTACTTCACATTCACTCTGGCTGGCTCAGGACAGTTTTCTCTTAAATTCTCTTTCATAAAGTGCCACTTGAGACCATTTTCTTTCTCAACAAATACGAGCTGATTGTCCATCTACATCTGGCTGATGTTTATTTTATCATGCTCCCATCAGTGTACACCAGCTGACACATTTAGTGTTTCAAAGCCAGTGTTTTGAGGAGCACGGTACGAGTTGTCCTGTGTTGTGAAATGAGATGCTAAGTGGTTTGTCACAACCTCAAGGATCAAATAGACTGCTGGAGCATTATAGTTGATCCTGCTGCACTATGCAGTCCTACAGATATAAACTTTAGATCAACTAATGTGTTACACGTCACATCATTCACCTGATTTATTTAGTTTTCTCCCCGTTCTTCCCCAGAATGTTGGTAAAAAATATTAATAACAAAATACTTATACTCCTTAAAGAACAAAAGGTCCCTCATTTCTGACTCCCGTTAACCCAGGTTCAGATTTTTCTACTATTTTTCTGCATTTCTTATTTGCTATTAGAAATAATTGTTTAGAATGTTTTTCCCGCTCCACACATCCCACAAAGTCTAATAGATGAGCAAAGCTATGTCCAGTAGCTGCCTACATAGCATACATTAAACCCGGTCGGCAAATCAAATGGAGCATCCTGTGTCCATTGATTAGTTTCGTAATTGATTTTCTTTTCTTTTTTTTTAAACGAAAGCTTCCCAGAAGCCTCAGTTTCCATTAGAGACGTCCTTTTATCAGAAAGGGCGGCAAGGACTTATCCTGCAGTTCAGCATGGCAAAGTGCTGAGATACATCCAGTGTTTTCTAACGTGTAGTGGCCACGTGTTGTCAAGCAAAACAGTTCACTTTCACTATCATCACAGTTGTTTGAAAGCCATTTTACATACATTTTGGCCTGCTCATTTGCTTACTTGACCTTTTTCTTAATATCTAAGACTTTTTTTTACTAGTGTAGCAGGTTAGGCCATTGCGTAGCGTCTTAAAAAATCCCCTCCCCCCTTTTTTTTAACCTGAGGTTTGGTTAATTTCAAGTCTTTGTCTTACCCTTTTTTTTTTTTTATTGTACCATCTATCTTCTCCTCTTCATTCTTGACAGGGCCTCATCTCTTCTCCCCCTCTCTCAGGCACACTGGCCAAACAGGTTATAATGGCAACGTGTCTGCGAGTGAGTCACTACATGTCTGAATGTTTCACTGAAAGCACAGCACGGGGTCCTGTATGTCAACCCAGTGGGCTGATTGTGATGTGTGTGTGAGGGGATTAAACCCACTTTGTTTCTTAAAATAACTTAAATATAACCTCAATCCCACTCCTCTACTCTGTATGACTCACTCACTCTGCCTGCTGAACAATGGAGCTTAATTGTGTGCGTTTGCAAACTCTGTGCTACCCGGCCCCCTCCTCCTTTTCAGCAGAGTATATAGAGGATGCCACTGTACCTTCTCTTGACTCCTTACCTCCTTCTTTGTACTGTCCCTCCGGCCACTACGCTGCACATACTGTCGATGCAGGCTGTCACTTCAGCACCTGTCAGCCGCGGACAATTACAACCATTAAGGGATTACCTTTGTTGGGCTCTACTAGCTGCTGGGAGGAGCCGGTGTAGGAAGGTGACGCAGTGAAGAAGAGGGAGGTCAGAGCAAGCATATCGTTCGCCTTAAGGGGCTTGTTTCCATTCTTAGAGAGGGAGAGGACTTTGAAGAGATAATAAGCGTGTAGGGGCTGACTGAGGGGGAGGATTTAGATGAGGGTAAGGAAGACAGTTTTTTTAGATGAAAGGAAGGGGGCTGTAACAATCCTTATTTTTATTTTATTTTATTTTTTAGATTCATGTCATTTTTAAGCAGGAAAAGAAATTACCTGCTACACAATATCAAGACTGACTTATTAAATACTATGACACCAGATATCACCCTGAACCTTGAACACACTGGGAAGAATATAGTCTATAGTAATATCTAATAGTCAGTATTCTATGTGTCATTGAATAACAAAACCATAAAACGCTTTTGGATCTATGCAACAATTGCTCGTGAATCGTCATTGAAGTAGAAATAAGAAAGGATAAATGCAGTGATAGGTAGAGAGGCACCAATTGTGTAATAATGGCATAATATTCTGGTCTAAATTCACATTGTGTTTTCAGCTTTATGGAAGCACGGTACTGCAGGAGCTCTACATGCACACACAGTCAGAAATGCATGCATGCAGTATGATGAATCTGAGGGCTAAAAAAAATAAACATGGTAACATTACCCGTAATAAACAAGCCATTCCTCCAGTGTTGTAAAATATCCTTTTCTTTCAAAGTTTTTTGGGTTCAGATACTTTATTTCAGGGCTATGACCTTGTAATTGTGCTTGCCAAAAAGTGGATTTGGAAGGGAACAACAATCTGGCCTTTGATATGAATGTTTGGCCACATCATTTACACATGATGGTGACGTCCAGCAAACCCAGATGTTTTATTTATTTATTTTTTTATAGTCTGCCCAGTAACAAAGTAAGATTCAAACTCCATCAGTACCTGGATAAACTCAGCCTGAGCACCCACACACCACCAAACCACATCATCATCAACACACACACACACACACACGGACACACACACACACGGACACACACACACGGACACACGCCGTCAGATAAGCTCAGTGAGGCCTCTGCAGCAGGCGCTCTTCAGCTCTGGCCATGTACGGGGGTTGTAAACGGCCCAAATTTGGACAAGGATTCCAGCCAGATAGTCGTGTGCCCTAAACGTGAGGCCGCTGTGTGTCGGTCTGTGTGTGTCTGTTTCCCTTGTCAACGCTTTGGTTGTCATAGCAACCACAGGAGAGAGGGAGAGAGCAAGACAGCCCAGGCACGGTGTTCAGTGATGGGGGTTGAGGGGGTTTAGATGGTGACGTTTGCTTTTGTGTTTGATATAGCTTTGTGGTTTCTGGATTTCAACTTAGTAACTATTCAGTATTTACTACAACCACTGTAGAGCTTTCGAGGAAGACAGATCTGCTGTTTTTCCTCTCTAGACACTGCTTTGCTGGACATCTTGTTATGTGCCTTTTTGTTTTAAGGTCTGAACATCTGAACCATGTTATGTGTCCTGAACGAAAGGAGCACTGCAGTGCAGGCTCTCTGTTGCTGCATTTTCCTTTGGCATGTTGTTTTGGTTGTTAAGTAGTAATGTGACCTCTTTGACAGCGTGCTCCCTCTCAGGTGTGAGGCCAAGAAAAGCTGCTCTCTCTTGCTGTACATGAACATGTACATGAATGAGATTTGTATTTTAGAAATTGGTCTTGTAACAGTTATACAAATTCATATATCAAGCATGATTGTTCAAATGTACATTATAATATTCCCAGAGAGTCATCGCTTTTTGGATGAATTTGCAAACATATGATACGTTTGTTCCTCTCTGGTGGTTTAGGGGCTGTGAGTTCCATCAAACAGTTCAGGCGCAGGTGTAAAGAGGAATGTAAATTCCTCTTGCATAACACAATGTTGTATAACTTAAGTGTGAAAGAGAAACCCACCATACCCCAACCCTGGTGAAAACTCTGCATCTTAATTCAATTCACAACACCTCCCACTTCATGAGTCAGAAGATCTTAAATAAAATGCCTCCCACTTGAAGCATGTATTGGTTTATGTGGGTCGCACTCTTTGTTGGTTACCTTGTTACCTGTCATGAATGGTTTGCTTTACTGCACTGGGGCGTTCCAGAAAGTGGGTAAACACACTCTACTTATTCCGTCCTCCAGATGCTCTCTTGCGACAGTTTGGGGTGTGCCAAACATTATCAAAGAAGCTTGATTTTTTTTTTTTTTTGTGTGTGTGTGTGTGTGTGGTTGTACTGCTAGCTTGCTAACCAGTGATATGACTTCACTGTGACATGCAGTCACCAAATCTATAGTAGAAGTAAAACAGGTCATAGCACACTAACCTTATACTGAACAAGGAGAAAGTCAGGGTTATGTCATGGCAAAAAATTCAGAGATTTGTTTTCACGTATGACGCTAACCCAGAAGGTTTAGAGCATGTGTAAAAGCAGTATGTTTGCGCTATCTAAGACGTGTGAGAGTGATCCTGGTTCAAGCTGATTGGAGACTTTTAATAGTCTGAAATTCAGTTATTCCTTAAGGTGCTCCAATTTCCTTCCACCTCAAATGACACGTCTTTCACCCGTCTGTCTTTAGAACTGTAGCGTGTGCCTGCCACAGAGTTTCTTATGATTGGAACTGATTTAATAAAGATGACAAACTACGCTGGCAAATTTCTTTTTTTTTTAACTTTTGCTAAACCACAGATGTGGATTTAATCGAGTTGTGCATGAACTGCTCGGTGAATGAGAACAATGCATGACGTTTGTGTTTCTTTTGTTCTTTCAGTGGTTTCCTTTATCATAGCGAAGTATTTAGCTATTGTGCAAAGCAAAGTGATGCTAAAGCTGTAAATTCAAGTAGCTCTGAAAGCAAATAGTAGTTGCACATAAGCATAGCACCTCATTCCCTCCACCAGCATTACTGTGCTACGTGGTATTTAAAGCACCTCTGCTATGTGCCGGCATTTTGGGAATGCTCCAGCTGCCAAAATTCACTGACAGTTTTGGACGCACGTTGCAATCCATCAGAGGCTGACATAAGTGCATTTGCATATGTGCACGTACACAAACACACACACACACACACACACACATACACACACAGGGCAGGTCGAATATCTAGGTTCTTGCAGTGACCTTAATCAACTCTGTCTCTCTCTTCTCTCTCTCAGGCGTGCATAGACGACAATGTGGACATGGTGACTTTCCTGGTGGAGCATGGAGCTGCCATCAACCAGCCTGACAACGAGGGCTGGATCCCCCTCCACGCTGCAGCCTCCTGCGGATATCTAGACATAGCAGAGTAAGTGTTGAGCAGCCTCGGTTTCTAAGAAGCAGTGTTATCTGTCTCATCAGGGTTTAATTTCAGCAAAATCAGCCCTACATCCTGTTTGGTATCTGTCTTATTCTAAGAAGCACTTTTTCTTCGTAATTCCAACACCTTTCAGTCTCAAGTTCAACAAAGCACAGGGCCAGTAGGGTTCTTGTATGAAAGTCCCACTGGTACAACACAATTAAATTTGGATTATGAAGCACAAAGTGACATCAGGGCTGACATAGCTGCGCTCCAGCTGAGGTCTGCACTCTCCCTGTCACCTCTGTGTACCCCCCATTAGTGACCTTTGTCTTTATATCAGGGCTAGCAAGATTAATGCATGCTCAGTTTGGCCTAGTGTAGTTCTTTAATTTTTTGGGACTTGCAGTCGACACCTTTTTATTTTGGAAATGTGCTATGTCAGCTAGCTTGCAAGAACCAACAACCCAGAAGACTTTATTTTTTGTAGTAGTGTGCCTTCATAATGGGGGAGAAACGAAAATGATTATTTTGATGGATTCTGAAATATTTGGGAATCCTCATTTGCATAATTTTCATTAAAAAAAAATCAGAATTATGAGGCATTTATTGGGGCTTGTAACAAACGATCATGTTTTCCTACAGATACAAAATAAGATTCGTCAGCCTTTCTGCAACAAAGCAGTACTTTCACATCTTCATGTCTTCTCATATTTTATCAGAAAGTTTCAGTTCTGCTTCTTGAAAATTGTACTTTGATATATATTAATTTCACTGGCCTTTCCAGCAGTTCTCTGCAGCTGCAGCCGTAGCCAATCTGAGCTATGATCTCAAATCTGATAGCTCTGACACACATTGATAAAAGTGATGTAATCAAATATCTAGAGATCATTGTCGGCAACAATATCGGGACTCAAGCTCTAACGTTGCACTCTAGTGTTTTCTTGCCTCTAGTTCTTTTCAGGTAAGAAGACAGCTCTAAGAGCACTGAACACAACACAGAGATGTTATCTGGAGGATATTTAAACAGGCTAAAGGGGGCTGAAGGAGCTCCGTTGTACTCATTGTTCAGTATATTGGGAGTGTGCTGTGACCTGCTTTACTTCTGTGTTACATTACAGGAACATGGCTGCTACAGATTTATCCCCAAATACCATGCCCCCCCCCCCCTAAAAAAAAAAGTACAACTAGCTGCAGGAAGATACATATGTGGCTCATGTACAAATTACTTGCCAGGAAAATGTTTGCATGGCATTTAAGTTTTCAACCAATCCGTTCATCTTTGAAGTATCCAGGCAAACTCAAATTCACTGTCTAAAGTCTTACTGATTATAGGGATCCAATTTTTCCATGTGTCCTCATGTTCCACCTCCTATTGACCTCAGCATGAAGACACATCCTCCATACAGTTAATAGAGTTGATTATACGGGGTAAGGAGGTAGAATTTGGGATTTTTAAAATTAGTTTGTATAATTGTATGGAGCAAAAAGGATGAAACAAAATCTAGTTAAAGGTCTACAATCTCAGAGTAAATGGCCCACTCCTTTTTCAAAGGTTTGACCTGTCAATCAAACCCCTCCAAATAAATATGTAAAGTCCTACAAAATCCACTCCACACTCCCTCAAGCTGGAATGCTGTGACCTATTTAATTTGCACAACTTATCGCTGGTATCGAAAAGACTAATCAGATATTTTCAGCAGAAATCTCCTCTGAATCAGGAATTAGTGGCAGTAAATTACTTGAAAGCACTTGCTTAATGCACTGCTTAATGTATTTATACATTTTATACTCATGACTTGAAAATACAACCAATTTCTTGATGATACCTTTTGATTTTTTTCTGTGTTTTAAGTGTCAGTAAATACCTGAGGTATTCATTTGGGTTCTGCAACATTAGAAATTCCTTTTTTCTGGTTTATATAGAATATGTAGGCACTAATAAAAATCCTCTTTGTCCAGCTAACACCGTAAAGCTGAAATCTCTCTGCAAACACTGAACATCTTGTGGCCTTTTTGACCAAATAATGTTGAGAAATTAGTCTCTTCATTAACATAATGTCCACACCAGTTTGAGATATTTTTGTGTTGTTTATCCCAGACCCAGCAGGGCTGTTTCCAGTAGTCGTTATAAACACAACCTCAGCACTTGGCTAGAATTACAGAACACAATACGTTTTTTGTTGCCTCACACTGAGTGAAAAGGTCAAGTGTCTGGCCCGCTATGGGTGACTAATGGAGACATCATGTCATAGGGAGAAACACTGCAACCTGATGTGGGTGGTTGAACTCTCAGTGGACTCATTTGAATCCTAGCATCCTCATTTCACAGTAACGGGAACTCCAAAGACCCCCGATGTCACCGCAGCCACTTAATGCCAGGGTAGCCTGGGAAGCCCGCAGTGGGAATCTGGACCACAAAACAACCAAACCCAGTGATGATGACTGAAAATAGGCCGAATAGAAAGTCCAATCGAGAAGACATAAAACTTTGAAACGTGACTGCAGTCAGTCAGGGCCATGTGTGGGGGAAGTCATAAGCACTGAGCTTCTTTCAAGTGGTGTGTCGGCCTAATGAGAAGGGCCTGAGTCTCACCGCAGCTGTGATTGGAAGCAGCTGAAGTCAAGATGTTAAATGGTTAAAAAGGTTTTCAGTCTGTGCTGATGGGAGACAAACTCATGGAGATCAAATCACTTAAAACCCATGGACCCATGCTCTTTCAGCCTCATGTTGACACTGGAAGAACTGCAGTTTGTTTATTTTTACTTCTGCACTGGCTTTGTTTTTCAACACCAAAGGTTGCTGCTTGGTCTCACTTTACTAACTTAGCTCAACTAAGCAGATACTCTTACTTGAGTGTTCTTCGGAGTATAGTATTGGTATCAATGAATTCAGTGTCAGTGCTGTAACAGGAGATGAATGGTAGTTAAGAGTCAAACATCAGAGAGTTGTAAACAGTCCACAAACCTGCCTGGATTTGTGCCACTCCTCTTTGTCTTTACTATGTAGGTGTGTCATGTTACGCTCAGTTTGGTCAGCCCCAGGAAGACCCTCTGACATTTCCACACACTGATTGACTTGCGTGCCTTGAGTTTCATGTCCATAACATTTTATTTGAACACTTACCATAGTAAAATAAATTTGCCATACAAGTCTTTTGTAATTGACTAGAAAGCAATAATCTTCTACTTGCTCTCCAGTAAAGAACATTCATATAAACATGTCCCAGGGGTTTCTTTTGCAGAGAAAACTCAAATTGCAACAAATTAAAGTTTGCCAGATAATGCTTTCAATTATCGTAACTATTAAGGTAATCTATGTAATTGGCGAATGTGTTTAAGTTGGCCTGGAGGTGTCGAAAGATGTGACTGGTCTAACAGGAGTTTCAGACTGCGGTTGCCATCTAACACTGGCACCGACCCAAAAGCAACATTACTCAGCGCCGTCCCTTTAACTGTTTCCTCATCAGTTACAGGACGTAAATAAACACACCGCACATTTTATCCTTATCGTCTTGTGAAAGATCTGACCTTTTTATCTGTTTATAAATAACTTTCGAAGAATGATAACACTCCATAATTATCGGTGTGTTTTGTTTTTGGCTTAAAACATTGAATGTTTGTTTGTGTTTCTCTTGCAGGTATCTCATCAGTCAGGGTGCCAGTGTAGGTGTCGTAAACAGTGAAGGTGAGACACCGATGGACATCGCCGAGGAGGAGGCGATGGAGGAGCTCCTGCAGAATGAGATCAACAGACAAGGTATCAAAGACACCTTGAATTCTTCTAATGGCTCATCCTTCCCTCAACCCAAAATGCCCTGTGAAGAGTTTTATAAACTCTTAAAATGTATCAACTGTACTTGGATAGAAGGATACAATACAAAAAGTGGATAGGGTAGGATAGGACAGAAGACGATACAATACTTTGTAAAGGATAGGATAAGATATACTTTAATGTCCCCTCTGGGAAATTTTCTTGGACTCAAGGGCTGCACACATTTAGCAGCCTCTACAGTGACAACAATAAATACAAACAATAATAACAAATAACAATGTAAACAGAGAAGCACATACCTGATAAAACCACAAACATTATATATTGCACATTACACATAATGCTCAAGTTCTGCAAAAAAAACATCAGTATGAGAAAAAGATAAAAAATACAACTACACTATTGCACAACACACACAGCCTTAAACTTCTTTAAAATTTTGATTGTAGTCGGCACAAAAGAGTTTTCAATAAACTGTTGGTAATATAGCTTTAGCCCAAAAGATCTGTATCATTTATGCAAATTATTATGCAGTGATGTATTTCTGTGCTCTAGTCAAATATGCAACATGAACACTGTAAAGGTTGTTTGTGTTTTCTCAGTGACAGTCTTTGTTTTAGTACCACGAAATTTGATAACACCATGAAAGAGCACTAACATGTAATGAGCTGTGCTGTGCTTAGCGTCTTAATGTCACCATAGCTAGGAGGGGCTCGTATGAGTTTGTTGTAAAATAGAGCCTGAGCTCTGACGGTTTTGTACTCCCTTCCTTGAAGAAAAAAATCTTACATAATATCAAAAGGTGATCCAGCTGTGTTGTGAGCATTCATGTGATGATTCCAAACTCAAAATTCGAGTCTTTCTATTTTTGGCCAGGCAGGGCCGGGGCATTCTTGAGATGATGAAAGGCCCTCCCCTATGGTGAGAGGCCAGGCACAGACGTGTTAACTGGCCCGGGGCCAGAGGGGTGCTCCTCAGCTTATATTCACTAATAAAGCTTTGCTGGCTTTGTGTTGTCTGGGGGCACCTTTAACCAGCTTTAAATTCTCTGATTTTACTACAGGTGTTTGTGGCTTGCGTGCAGACAGAAATGCCACTTTTATAGCCACGGTGAGATGTGAAATTAAAGCCTGCACAGCTAGCCCAATAGGGTTTATGGTTTTTAATCCATGCATCTACCAGCATCATCATTAGAAATATAATGTATCAAATGATTATACACTGCATGTTTAATAAATGATCAAGACTTAATTTATACAGCACATTTAATACGAGGGGGAAGTTTAAAATGCTTCACAAGAAACAATGGAACCTTTTACGAAACAGGCCAAATACTTTTCATTATAAATAAATAAGGGACCAAAAATGCAGCAAAAGGCAAGAAGAGGTTATGCTACAAACAATACAATATAAGGAAGAGGAGAGAACAATATGTAGTGCATCTAGCATCTGTTGCAATCTTGGAGAACAAAATCTTTCAGATACTTGTTTATTTCCTGACAGGCCTCTAAGCTAAGGTCAAAGTGTTTGAAAAAGGATAATGGCAACCAGTGATAATTGGACCCAGAGTACTGTTTTCATACTGAGCTCCTTGAACTTGTTATATAACGACTGCGATAATGTACTCACCCAAACCTTTAAACTTCTCGGCCACCAGCTGCTGTCAGCTTTGATTTGCCGGCGTCTGATAGATGCGCCGCCTCCTCTAAGATCCATCGCTAATGGATGCAGAACCAAAAGTACATCTTCATTTATCATGCCCCTGGACGAACTTTTGAAATATCTTTCAGTATTTTGGACATTATTTCCTCAGGTTTGTGAGCAATATAATTATTCTTGACAGACTTTTCTATAAATCTGTTTTTTTTTGTTGGTATAAATCTCCAGTGAAGAGTGAATCTGTGCTGATCCTGGCCCCGGGGGCAGCTGCAGACAATCCACTGCTCAGTTCAGTCTCTATGCTACTCGTAGCAGGCAGCATTATGCAACGAGCTGTTGTGTAACGCTCCCGTATGTTTGTAATGTGATTTTCTCCTCTCAAAGAGACACCAGTCATGGGGTTAAACTTGTTAGCGAGTGGCCATAGTTTACCCTCCACGGGAACAACCTCAAGATGCTCTCCTTGACCTCAGTTGGGTCAAGTGACTGGACAGCCTGTCTGCCAGTCTCTCTCTCTCTCTCTCTCTCTCTCTCTCTCTCTCTCTCTCTCTCTCTCTCTCTCTCTCTCTCTCTCTCTCTCTCTGCCTCCCCCCCTTTATCAGCTGCTTCAAGAGGGCTGCTGCTGTCCTTGTAGTGGACTAAAGGTGGAGAGTATCACAGATGTCTCTAACTTTTAGATTTGAATGATGGTAGTTTACGCCTAGCTAAAAAAAACCAAAACAATTTGGCTCCTTTCTTCTCGACTTATCTTAAAAGCGAGTCACTGTTGTAAGTCTTGCTCCAGGGTAGATTTCTTTAGGTCATATTTTTTTTGATTGGTTCAGGATGACTGTACCAAAAGTTTGTCCCACTCTGAGTTGGTATATTCCCATTGAACTTAAGGGGAATCCACATTGGTCTATTACATTTTCTCTCCGTCTGTTCATGTAGAAGATGTGCTGTTCTCTGTAAAAAATAAAAAATAATAAAATAAAATAAAAAAAATCTAAACTTTGAACTGCTGCCAAGTCCTCCGCTCTGTTCTTGTTTTGTAGTTCCTACTTAGAGGCCATTAGGCTCACTGCTTTTTATAGACTCAGTGTAGGCTACTTCCCAAGAGATCACAGGACTTCGCCCTACCTGGCCGGCTCCCATTGCCTATATTCACTGAACAGCTCTGAGGTTTCTTCTGTTCCTTTTCCAGGTGACACGTATATCAAACTTAATAGACTTGATGTAAACATACCTTGCATTGAATATAAAAGATTAATAAGCATATATAACTGTTATAAAAATGTGGCTGAAATAGATGGGGGAAAAAACCTTGACCCCTTGATTTTGTCACTATAACAAGGTTTAAATGTCTACAGGTACAGGTAGAAAAACAAAGAGAAAAATCTGCCAGTGTGCAGGGTCTCTATCCCAGTATTGTATCAAAGTTTGAAATTCTGCTTTTTTGACAACCTCACGCTGATGGCCAACATTACTGAGTCAACCGCTTGGTTTGAAATAATACATGAAATCAAGTCAAACATAAACTCAGACACTGAGTCATCTTCTTCCCATTTGGTTTCACTTTCTTGGACCTCGGTTCACAAATCATCTCAATGAGTAACATGTCCGCCCTCGAAAAATGCAGAATATTACTGCTGACTTGCTCTCTTTGAGCCTTTGTTGAATGCACACAGCTTTTTGACTGATTTTTGAAGACGCTTAGGCCAACTTTCAAGCACACAATCCTTGACAAAAGGATGGCTTTGTTTTTGGAAACATTGCTGCTCATTGCTCATCAGCTCTCCTTGTGCTTCTTCCAGCTTTCAAACCTCCTGGTTGATTAAGACTTTTCCTCTGCCTGCCCCCTTTCTCTGAAGCCAAACTTGCACACGCAGATGTCCTCTTTCATTCGCTTAAAGCTCGAAGGCAATCTCCGAGCTTTCTAGGGGTTGTCAGGAAGTGAGTGATGATGTACTTGGGAGTAGAACAAAAAACAAAAACCTATAAGATCAGCTGAAGTTTTGGCTCCGTCCCCTGCACACTTCTCGAATCACTGTTTATACAGTTCGGCGCTGTTAACTCTCAGCTGATGACTCGATGGGTCGCGCTGCAGCACATTTCATCCCGTCTTGTGTTTCAGCCAGGTGTCAACAAGACAATACAGGCCTCCTTTCACCGCTGCGCCGCATGCAGCTTATAGCTTAGACATATTGACCCACTTAACCGGCTGAGGCCTGTGTGTGTGTGCAGCCACTATTTCATTGTGGAATTGACAGAATTTTGGTTAAAAAAAAAGAAACCTGAAGCAGAAAAAGTGCTTTACAACTCCCTCTAGTGGTCAGAAAGGTTGCTTGAATCATTTGATGTAATTTTTCCCTTCTGAGATCATTGAATGCAATGAATTAGATTAAAGCACCTGTGAGGAGTTTTAATCTTGTTATGAAGCAGCTTGAAATGAATAATGATGCGTCTTACTGACCTACGAGTTTATATAAGAACATCAGTGAGAAGATGACTTGCTTCTAAATGTTTGTTTTTGATGCCAGTAAACTCTGTGGTGGGGGAGGTGTCAGACTAGGCCTTTTTTTTCTTCTTCATTTACCACAGCAAAAAATGAAGTTAGTCCTATGTTTGACTGTTACAGGTAGCAACGATTGTTTCTTTTGTTGGGGAAAAAATTACCTCATTACCTCAACATGTACAGGACAAAATCATAAGGAGGATTAAAGGTATCGCTTTGTCCACAGGGGGCGCCAAAATCAATTAAAAGCAAAAGTCCCTCATAGGAGCGTTTACCAATTTCTGTTCTCTCCATTGTGTTTTATGCTCAAAAACCGCTGTAATCTATTCCACACATTCACATACCTCTGTGTAGATGCTCAGTCCTCGGCTCGCTGAGGTTCAGTGTTACAGCTGGCAGCTTGTTCCTTAAGCATGCAGGTAATCCTCCCGTGCCACTTTTAACAGCATCACTCTCTTCTGTCACTCACCAGGGGTGGATATCGAGGCAGCCCGCAAAGAGGAGGAGCGGATCATGCTGAGGGACGCCCGGCAGTGGCTCAACATCGGCCAGATCCAAGACGTCCGGCATGCCAAGTCCGGGGGGACGTCGCTCCACGTGGCTGCTGCCAAGGGATACGTCGAAGTTTTAAAGTAAGCAGTCGCTTTGATTGTACAGGTAGAAGAGCGAGCGCATTATTGCTCTTTCTTGTATAAATCATTTCCTGTTTTCTACAATATGAAAAGCTATTTATAGTCAAGGCAGTCATGAGGCCTAGCGTTGTAGGTTCTTTGCTTTCTGCATTTTGTCAAAGTGTTGTTCTGACAGTTTCTGTGGGTTGTTAATAAAGCTCCACAGCTCGAGGAAAGGATCCTCAGCTGCTTGTCCATCTGCTCTGGGAAGCCAGCCAGCTCACTCTACTGCCATAGATAGCTCTAAGATCTCTCATGTTTAGTGTGACTGCCTTTTACAAGACACAGATCTAAAAGTGTCCCACGTCATAGCTGAAACATTAGAGTTTTAAAAAATCAGCAAATCTCCTCCTGCAGTTGTTTAGGGATGACTCAAATTTTTCAGATTATGTGTCCACGTGTTTAGAGGTTGTATCTCATAAATCTGATCCGAGGCCACAACGCTGACGCACTTCCAAAAGCCTCGCTGCACTTTGGAAGATTAGTACATTTAATTCTAAGAAAAAACTGGGTTTTTTTGTTTCCCCATTCCTCCTCTGTGCAGGCTTTTAATCCAAGCAGGGTATGATGTAAATATTAAAGACTATGATGGCTGGACTCCTCTACATGCGTCCGCACACTGGGGCAAGGAGGAGGCCTGTAGGATACTGGTGGAGAATCTGTGCGACATGGACCTCATTAATAAAATGGTGAGTTACTAGCACTGTCAAAAAGCCTGTTATTGAGTGCAGAGCAACCCATATATTAGATAACTTTTACTTCTTTATTTCCCTCAGGGCCAGACGGCTTTTGATGTAGCAGATGAAGACGTTCTGGGATACTTAGAAGAATTACAGAAAAAGCAAAATCTGGTGAGTCAGTGTGGCTGCAGAGGACAACTTCAGCAACCGTTTTAATGCTGGAATAAATTAGAATCAGATGACGGATTGTGTCCCTTGTGTTCCTCCCCTCCCTGAACATATCTGTTTTTCTTTATTTTCAGCTGATTGGTGACAAGAAAGATGTTAAGAAATCTCCTATAATCGAAACAACAACCACTGGGGACAACAACCAACCACTGAAACCACTCAAGAGGTAAACAGCGTAATATTGTAAACTGATGAATAGAAACCATTGATTCAGCCTGCACATCTGGGGTTGGAATATTATGTTGGAACAACTGTTATTATTTTTTACTGTAGCCTTTATTTCATCAGAAAAGGCTTGTTGACAATAAAAAAATAAAAAAAAATCTCCTTTTTGTGTCCTTGCCAAGGAAGGCAGCAGCACAGTTAACAAAGTTACATACAAACAGAATTCAAGATTTTAATACATTTACAAGACTTGGAATCAGAAGTAGAGCCCGACCGACTTATCATATAATTTTATTTAAAATATATTTTTAATTCCTTCTCCCAGCTCAGAATACAGATTTACTGAGGTGTCGTTGTTTTCTGAGTTACAGACGTGTACTTTTGTGTTTCACAGCAAAGAAACGCTGCTCCTGGAGCCGGAGAAGAGCGCCCCACGCATCGAGACCTTAGAACCCGAGAAGGTGGATGAAGAAGAGGAGGGGAAGAAGGACGAATCAAGCTGCTCCAGCGAAGAAGAGGAGGATGAAGACTCGGAGTCAGAGACTGAAGCAGGTACTGTGTGTGAGGGTTTATGTCAATTATTACGCTGACTCGGTCATCAGGTCAAAACTGAAAAGAGGTTCATGATTTCATAAAGCGGAGTATCAGGTCATACAAAATAAAACAACAGATTTTGTGAATAAAGTTGTAATAAAACAAGAATGAAGGCGTAATATTATGAGAATAATGTTGTGATTATACTAGTGTAAAGTTATTCTATGAAACAAAAATGACATGATGAAGTAAAGTTATCTGCTGCTATGGTACAACAAACAGCGGTTGTAGAAACCTGCTCTGGCTGCTGAGGAGACTTAGTTTCATGCACAGTCCTTTCAGAGTCCTGATACTTATGACAACATGGTGCTGATGTTGAAGATAGGTGATTATTTGCACAGAGCTACAAGGCAATTCAACAACAGCAGTAGAAAATGAAGATATGCCAAAACTCTTTCTCAGTGCCACAAAGCAAAAAAAAACGAGTTTTGAAATCACAATATTTTGACCAGCGTTCATCTTCAGGTGATTGTTCCATATACCACATCCCTTTATATTTAGATTTGTAAACCATTAGGCTGCCAGGCGCTGTGATGGCAGGTGTCGTCAAACATTCAAAAACACAAATATATTCACATTTTTCTCATAATGTTAGGACTTCATTATGGAAATCAGATCATCTCAGGTTAGGCTCTAAAAGTTCATCAGTTAGGATGCTAATACATCAATGATCATTTTCTTACTTTTTCAAGCGCATGTCTCAAAAATGGTTCCCATGCATTTGTGGGTGTATTCAGCTCCTTATATCTTATTTCCTTTTGACCTCCTCCAGACAAGACCAAGCCTGCAGCATCAGTGAGCAACAGCACGACGCCCGCCCCTTCCACCATCACAGTGACCTCTCCAGCAAGTCCAACTAACCAGGTGACGACCCCCACTTCACCAGTGAAGAAGGTATGATCTGGTGCATGAAAATGTTATCACCTGAACCCTGCGCAGACAGCCGGCAGAGTGCGCTCAGATGAAGCGACTTGGTTTTCAAACCAACCTACATCATGTCATAGTTTTAACCCTCAAACCACATTACATGGTCGCTGCACCTCCCCGCTTTCACGCAGCAAATGGAACTTCGCTCCACTGAGACACATTGGAGCCTTTCTGTGTACGCAGATCAGTCAAATTCATAATCTATTTAGTTTTTCCTCCCCCTTGAATACAAACTTAATTTCACAGTCGGTTGGATATTTAAGGGGTTTGAATAAATGAGTTCCGATTATTCTCGAGGCCGTCAGAGAAATCACTTTTGATTTACTCTTCATGTTGCAGCACACTGAGCATGCAAAGTAAATGAACGCCTAGTTTTTCATGAGCTTTCATGAAATATGGGAATGGCTGGCACAGATGGGATGATTGGTGGATGTTTAAGATGGAGTTAGCAGTTTACTAAATGACTGTTGGGGTGTTATTATAGAGCAGTGGATATGGATGCTCTGCAGGAATAAAACTAGGGCTTCTCAGTAGGCATTTCCCCCCCCTTTGTGAGTCTGCTGCCCTCTGCTGGTCAAATAAGGCCAAACATTTTAACTAAACTGAACCCGGTGTTCACTTTCCAAGGACATGTGTGCTGCATCAGTCCAATACATTTAAACAAAAACGTAATGTGGCATCGTGTTTAACCCTTTAGGCTCCCAGAATGTGCGAGAAATGTTTGCAGTTCACTTTTATTTAGAAAAAAACAAAAGGATTATAGAGGGGATCAAATGGAACAAAATGACCTTATTAACACGATGGACATTTTTTCTCTCTAACCTTCACACAAAGCTGAATTAGTAATATAAATCATTTCAACGTCTCCTGATTGATAAGATACTACAAAGACTAGCTCGACAAAAACTCATTTTTTACAGTACGCTACGGGCAGACGCTGTGTTCTTACCTTCAAGATCTGAAGGTTTATTTTTAAGCTTTGACGCTTTCAGTACTGTCGATCATTTGAAAAACAAAGATTGTACCATTTTCAGACATGCGGTATCGAAGAGTACTGAAACATTTTAAACCCTTACTCCGGACCGCATCGTCATTTCACTCTCCTGAATGCAGCCCCAATACAGAGGCCACCTTTTTGGAGGGGGGGGGGGGTCTTCTTTCTGAGTTTGCACCCTCAGTCCCCATGTCTTGCAATCAGTGTCCCACCTGCCTTAGACGACCTGAATGTTTCTGTTCTCGGCTTCTTTTCTCGCAAAGATCTTCTTGTTTCAGTCCTTTCTTTGAGGCCTAGAGCTGCTCACACAACACAATGTCTTCTGTCTTAACAAGAGTGAACCAAATCATTAACAACGTCCAGTTTTTGACACTACCAAACAGCAATGGTAGCCCCCCTCCCCTTCCCCCCTTCCCTGGTTTGGCAGTAAACATTGTGTGGTGTGACTAGGCCTTTAAAAGAATCTATCCTTGCTCTGAAGTGTGTTTCTTTTGCTGCTTCTGTCTTATTCTGGCTTCTTTTTTTTGTTTCTGTCTCATCCTCCCCACCCCTCCCTTGCTCTCTGTCTCTGCGTCTTTCCTCATCCTGGGCTCTTGTCTTGGTTGGCTTTAGTCTGATTGTATTACTCCCCACATGCCTGTGGCGGAGCCAGGCTGTCCTGCATTGTGGCGACAAGGCTTGCGCAAAACTGGCATTTCTCTAGTGCCTAAAAAACCTATGGTGAGGCATTTGGTGTGCACCAGAGTTCTTCTCTCATCCTACATGCACCTGTGCACTCACAAAGAACATAACACCCCCCCCCCCATCCCCTCCTTCTAACCACCCTGGCTCCATCCAGTTGATGCTTACGGTCACTCATCAACCCTCCGTGGTGTTGTTTGCACTTTTAGTCAGACGTTGCACCGCCCTGATTGTGCCTTCACCGTGTTTCTGTGTGGCTTTTCTGTGCTTCGTTTAGTTACCTGTCTTGTTTTTGAGAGTTTGTTTTGTGGTTCAACTTGACTTAACAGTCAACGCCTAACAGGTTAATGACCCCTTCACCACCTACTGAACGAGAGCGTTTCGTAGCTGAAGTAGATGTGATCGTGACTCCTAACTGGCATGCCCTTCCTTAAAGAATAATCTCATCTTTAAAAACCAAAGCCTTTGAAGCTTAACGCAAACCCGGTTTGGACTTCTCTGTGTGTTCACTCACCAGGACGACTAAAATCCTAATTAAACATATTCATAAAAAGCAAAGATTGTGCGTTGACCTGCTGCCCTTCATCCCTCCCAGGCCACTCAGCCCCTCCGAAAGTCTCCGCCAAAGTGGAGGACGACAGGAAGGACGAGTCCCCGTCATCATGGCGGCAGGGTTTGAGGAAGACGGGCAGCTACGGGGCGCTAGCGGAGATCACAGCCACCAAGGAGGCTCAGAGGGAGAAGGACACGACCGGGGTGATGCGCTCAGCCTCGAGCCCTCGCCTAACCTCCTCGCTGGACAACAAAGAGAAAGAGAAGGTCAACTGTCACAACGTTTCATTAACTTTTTCAGTAATCTGTTTTCTACTCAGACTGCTCAGTCTCTAGAATGTCACACACCAATTAATCCTTAAATCAAACTTTACTCACCGTATACATTACAGCAAGGCTTCAGGAGAATGTATTTTTCCCCAAAAAATTTGTGACTGATACAACATAGTGCATGGTTCTGTTTTCATTGCAAATAGAAGACAATACGCTGATAGAAAATCTCCATTTCTATTCCAAAACATCTCACTAAAAAGCTTAAAGTGTAGGACATAAAACTAAGATTCTGGTTTGTCCCTTCGTCTACAGGAGAAGGATAAAGGGACCAGGCTGGCCTATGTGGCCCCCACCATCCCCAGGAGACTGGCCAGTACTTCGGACATCGACGAGAAGGAGAACAGGTAAGCCGAGCTCTTCTGCGTCAACATGTGTTTAGCATGAGCGGCACCTGCTGCCCACTGCTGTGTGTTGCTGGCTAAAGCCACAATGCTCTCTCTGCATGGCGTGTGTGGCACTCAGTCACTGCGTTTGGTTTACGATGTGCAGAAGAATATTTGGTAGAAAAATAAAGAGAACATATTTAGCATATATATTGCAGTTTCTATTTGTGGAAGATCCGGGTACTATTTTAGCCTGTGGTTCCCCAGGGACTCTACTTCTCTGATACGTAGCGGCTCATACACCCGGCGGCGCTGGGACGACGACCTGAAGAACAGCGAAGGCAGCGCCTCCACCAACCGAACCCCCAGCTACCAACGCAGGTCAGCCTCTGCCGCGACACAATCCTCCAACCTTCTTCTTCATCATCATCATCATCAGATCTCTGTCCCCGTCTGATCTGATCATCCATTATGAAGTTGACTAGCTCGTAGACAGCATTGACAGTTATATATCCATCATCTACTGTACATTCTGCTCGGGTTATGTCATCAGAGATATGTCGGTACATGCTTTGATGCACAGCAGCAGCAGCAGCTACTGAGAAAACCGTGCAGAAACGCCTCTCTCTCTCTATCACTGCCACAGAGTCTGTTGCATGACTGTACGTGTCCTGTCAGGTTGCTGTGCCAGTGAGTTTACGCTGCATTACTCAGATATTTTTACGAGTCTATATACCTGTCTGGCTACCAAATCAAAACACATTTTCAGGTGTGATCATGGCACAGAACCTCGATTTGGACTTACGCTGCACGCATGTCATATGGGGAACATACTTGCTGGAAACCCTCTTTTTAGAATTAGTTTTTAAGTTAAGGCTTCTTTGGAACTTGGTTTGGTATTTAAAAACAGAAACTTGGAAACACCTTCCCAAATTCCCAATTAAAAATGAATGAAATTCATATATATTTTAAGGTTGCTTAAGCTCCTCTGGAATTTACTTTTTATTCAAAACTTCAGGAATAAAATCCTGAAATATGTTAAGGTTTAGGTTCCTTTTAAGTATTGGTAAGTTGGGAACTGTTGATTTGGATTTCTCAAAGTTTCCAACATGAATTTCTCCCAAGTTGTTCGAGTTACTTAGGATCTTGTGTTTTATACTTCTAAGGTTTCCGACAAAATTCGACAACAAGCAGTTATTTACGTGGCGAAAGCTGCTGGAGAACTTGTAGATTTCTTGTTTTCCCAACAAAAAAACCTTAACTCATGACAAGCCAAACCCAGGATAACTTTACAGATGTTGCTTTCAACATTCCCAGCTGACCCCATAAGACATGAATGCAGCGATAGTGTGCAAAGCTTTAGTCCTGAATATAAATGTTTCTTATTCTGTATCTGTGTGTTTTGTTTGTGTGTGTGTGTGCGTGTGTGCCACCAACGCTAACATGCCTCTCTCGCCCACCCGCCTGCCAACACACCAGCACGTCCCACACGCTAGCACTAGGGCGGAGCGGCAGCACGCGGGACGTGCCAGCCAAGTCTTCGTCCACCTCCAACTTGGACCCTAACACCTGTAATACTAAACCCTGGCAGCCACCCTCCTCCCACTACCAGTCTTACAGCATTTACCGCAGGTACACCAGCCTCACGGGGGGCACCGCCGTCTCTACACCCACCTGTCCTCTCTGACTGTGTGTCTCTGCGCTGCTGGAGTTCCTACCATGTGTTGTGTGTTCCTCTGGTTGCCTTTGATGTCAACATGATCACTCGAAGGGGTCAAAGCTGGTTCACTACAACGATAATATGTTACTGAAGTAATAATGTAAATCAAGTCTGCTGTGTTAGCACTACACTGCAACCAGTCAGTTTGTTCAGCGTCATATCTACTGCAGCAGAAGCAGTTAAACTGTTCTTTCTAATTCAACTGTACAATATAATGTAGGCACTAATCTTACACAACATTAACAAAACATTAACCTTTCCTTTGAATTTCTAAAAAAACAACATGAATCCATCACTTCACAGATATAGTGATTTACTTTAAATAACACTAATCACCACAGAAACATGTTCCTTTCCTGATTTTAGCTCATAGTTCTAGTAAACATTTAGTCGTCGTTTTTGAAGAGATGGTGAAATAACAAGCCCGTGCTGCAGCGCCACAGAGTGGTCGACGGTGGTCACTACTTCCCTACGCTCTTTTTGCACTTAGCTGAAAGCTATGAACAGACTGCAGTAATATTGTGATGTCAATTCAAGAAGCATTAGGGGGAAATAAAAGCTGGTTCCTACAAATAAAAGTTGTAGTGAGAGGAAGAAGGAACAGTTAATTCTACAGTTTTGAGCCACAAATGTCCAGAAATTCTTCAGTGTAACAGTTTGCTAAAACAAAAAACAACCCATCACAGTGAAACACAAGTCCTACAATATATAGATCCTAACACAACTTTTTGCTTCCAGAATGCTGGTTGCTTATTATCTCAGTGAATCCTCTCAGCCGAATAAGTGAATGCATTCGTCATCGTTGTTGTGGTCATGTCGCTGTGGTCATGTCGCTGTGTCCGGGCCTCTTGCTGTGTTTGATGTCCGACTCTTTGTCCTCCAGCGGCTCTTTCGGAAGACGACACGAGGATCTGAGTTCTTCGACCACTTCCTCCACGACCACCACCACCTCCTCATCTGTTACCTCGCCCACAGGCCACCGCGGCCTGCTCTCCAGCCTGGGCTCCTCCTCCACCCGCACTGGCTCCACCAGTCTCACCAGCAGGTACACCAGCAACACCGCAGCTTGTATATAAATTACAATGTAAACTAGTTATGCTACTCGGTGGCTTCTGATAAAGCAGCCGTATTCAATTAAAAACTGGTGATATGCAATTAGAAGTGATGTAATTTCCCCTGGTAGACGATCTACTGTATATCTAGGTGGACATAGTCATCCTGATGTCACACACTTGTTTTTGAACCACCAATCTGAAGCCTCCACTTTGGCAATATGTGTTTGTTCATCTTGTTTGGTTTAAGCGCCAGATACAACCTTTTGGGGCCAAAAGATAGAGTTTGAGATGAGCGAGGTGTCATCATATGCTATGATAGAAGCTAGCGATAGCAATCTGTGTCTGTAATTCATGTGTGTTTCTAAACATATCCGATGTGTGAACAGGTACTGGTCAGAGGAGAGTGCAGAAAGGGAAAAGGAGAAGGAGTCTGCTGCAGTCATCCCCACTATGAACACTGGCTCTACCACGACCACCACTTCCACCACTACCACCGCCATATCTACCACCACTGGCACCGGCACTGGGCCAGAGAGACGCAGGTGACAAAGCCACACACAGTTTTAACTCCACATTTCACCTACGCTTATCCTTATATACAAGTATGCTAATTAATGCCTTATCTGACGGAATTAATTTATTTTTAACTCCCTATTTTCTACTCCTCCTATTTTGGAGCAAATCGCACATCAGCACATCTTTACTTAGTTAACATGAAGTTAACAGAAAGCTACTACACATTCTTTCTGTCAATGTCAGGGAACAAAAAAGAAACCCTTAAAAGTACAACATATGAAACAATATAATATAAAACGTGTAGAAATAGATGTAACAGGAGATTTGTACAGTTGTGCGGGAATTTAAATTAAAACGAGAGCATTCACCTTCTTAGCTCCCGTTAACAAACAGTGATCTGGATGCATTTCCTCTGTTTGAGAAAAGGGTGTGTGTGTGTGTGTGTGTGTGTCCCGTCTTCACGTTTACAAACAGTGAAAGGAGAAGGAAGAGTTTGTCACAGGTGCAGGTCAGAAGTGGAGCAAGTGAGTGTTTGTCACCGAAAGCACAAGTGTGTGAAAGTGGCTTTGAGTGTGTGTGTGTGTCTCCCTGAAATAAGCCTCCTGTCATGGTGGGAGTCGGCACCGTTTCGCAGCCTGAACCCGCTTCATCGACTTTTCCCTTATAAGGACGGTGGGCAGAAGCTGCAGATTCTCCTCGAGGATAAAGCCCCCCTTCTGCACTGAATGTGTTCATACGTCTCAGTGTGTCACACTGACAGAAAAGTGCCAGAATAGCTCACTGTTTTGGTTCCCGAGCTGCGTTGCCTCTTTGAGCCTGATACTGTTTTAGCGGGAGGTTGAACATCCTGTTTCAACACTTTAACTTAAAGATTGTTTTTAAAGCGTCATCCTTGGAAACACAAACATTTTCCAGGAATGTCCTGCCTCACATCATCCTCAGTGCCTTGTACCCCAATGTTCATTTGGACGTAGATGGCTGCATATAAACACATATACATTTATGTGTTTATATGCAGCTATGAGTTAACTGAAGTGTGCTGACATTAGCCTGCTAACACAACAATGCAGGACACAGGCAATTGCAGCTCGAGCCAAGGACATTTGGTCCACCCGCTTTATTATTTTTCTCTATCCGGTTGATCACATTCTGCCTCCTCACAGAATGATGGAGCTCTTTTGTGATCGTCCGTGTCGTTTTGTGTTTCAGATCATACCTGACGCCGGTGCGAGACGAGGAGTCCGAGTCCCAGAGGAAAGCCCGCTCCAGACAGGCTCGACAGTCGAGGAGGTCTACCCAGGTCAGATCACCACCTCTTCAATAATACATCACTTTACGGACTGTACCAAGATGTGACACGACAGAAGAATCTACATTTCAACTAAATATGTACAAACCGTAACTTGTAGGCGACCCGGGTTAGCATTATGATTTTATAGCTATAGATTGTTTGAATAAATGACGTCATCCGGGCAGAGACGGCAGGTTTTGTGTACACAGGCTGCACTTAATGTTAGACTTGTAAAATATTCAGCTCTCTGTGCCAGAACGCTGTCTTATCCTGGATGAATCAAAGAGTTAGAGTTCAAATTAAACGACCCAGTTACACTTCTGATTTTTACTGCAGAGCTGAAAGATTTTATGAAATTGGAAGATTTTTGAATGAAGATGATGAACTCAAGGTGATTATATTACTCTCTTCGTCCAGGGTGTGACTCTGACTGACCTGCAAGAGGCCGAGAAAATCGTACCCCGTCGTACCCCGAAGACCCGAGAGGAGGAGAAGGAGGAGAAAGAGAAGCAGGACAAGGAGAAGCAGCAGGAGGAGAAGAAGGAGACGGAGACAAAGGAGGACGATTACCGATCAAAGTACCGCAGCTATGAAGAGGTACATTCTTGCTCTAGGCGTCTGCGTTCACTTTTCCCCACAAACATGCCAGTGTGTCTGAAAAATAAAAATGTCTTCCCACTTGTCTCTCCCTTCCAGCGCTACCGGCCCTCGTCCTCCTCCTCCACCTCCGCCATTTCCACAGTCAGCACTGCCTCCACCCCGTCCTACTCTAGCACCGCGTTGTCCTCCAGTTCCAGCTCCCTCAACAGGCCTAACAGTCTGACGGGGATCACCTCCTCCTACAGCCGTTCGTCCAGAGATACAGAAAAAGGTCAGTAATTAAAAATTTTTTTTAAAAAAGTGTAAAAAGGATCTTTTCCTGATGTGAAATCTGATTATTTTAATACCTTTCTATTTTCCCTCCTGTCCTTCTCGATGGTCAGAATTGGACAAAAAGGAGGAGGAGAAGGAGGGAGAGGACAAGTCTCAGCCTCGCTCCATACGGGATCGCAGGCGGCCCCGCGAGAAGAGACGCTCCACTGGAGTCTCCTTCTGGACCCAAGATGTGAGAGAATGAACACTTTGTGATGTTTAACATAAAGCCTAATACTCAGATTTTAATCACAATACATTTACATTCATGTAACTCATCTAAATCTTAGTGTGTTAAACTAGCAGTAGCTCTGTTAAGACAACTTCAAACCCCTGTGGCTTCTATCGTATAATCTGGATATCGCAGAGGCATGATGTCGTCCCTCCTCTGTCTGTATCGCCACAGAGGCGTCAAAGGGGCGAGGCAGGATTGGCAGGGCTGTGTGTGTGTGTGTGTGCATGTCTGACTGTGTGTGTATGTGGAGCTCCTGCTTATTCTCTACATCTCGTGCTTCCGCAATTCTCTAACAAAATGTGAAATTCACAAAGTGGGACCCCAATTTTCAGCAGTTGTGTAATCAGTCTGACTGTACAGAGATGTAACGACAGAGGAGCTTTGTTACGGCACTGTTGTGATCTAATTCTAGTCCTTTTCAGAACGCAATCCCACATCTCATCTCAACAGCTGTCCTGCAATCCCTAAAGCTCCTATTGAGGACCTTTCAAGTTGTTTTGATTGTAGCGCCCCCTGTGAAAATCTTAGTAGTTTTCTGCTCCTGCTGTCTTCACAGTAGATCGTATATCACACTGTGAGGCTGTTTCTGCAGCCCGATGTTGATTGTCTCATCTAACACCAACCCTGCAGCAGCTATTTCAGGCGCTAAAAGACACTTCATAGAAATAATAAATCTTAATGCAAATTGTCATTAGTTTTAATTTCAGTCTGTTTAGTCAGCAGCCAGAAACTCTTGAGAGCCGCTTTGATCTTTGTGATTTCAATCAGAATGTAAAAGAGAGCATTTTAACACAACCACTCATCTAAATTCCTTTTTATATTTGATTAAAGATGACTCATTTAGGTCACTCCCCTCATGAGGTGCAGGAGTTTATGACACCTGTTCGACCCTCTTTGATCGCTGGGGAATTGAAGCTGCAAGTCATGTTTAACCCTCCTGTCCCCTTTTTTAAATCCAGGGTGATGAAAATGATCCAGACCAGCAGTCGGACTCGGAGGAGGGCAGCATCAAGGGAGACACACAGGTGACCCCATACACACACACACACACACACACACACACACACACACACACACACACCAGGAAAAAGTAGATGAAACTGACTTTTAAGCAGGAGCCCTCCAGCCCAAATCCAGCCAGTCCTCCTGCATTTGATGTGACTTCAATTTGATTCCTGCCCCCCTGAGCGTGCTCTCTCTCCTCTTCTCCTCATGTCTCAGACCAAACATTTCCAGTAGCCTTTGATATTCAATCTTCTGCCCTGTCCAGCTTTGATTTTCTAACCCTCCCACTTATCTCCCCTTTGCACCCTCTGCAGCCTTCAAACTTTCTCTTTTGCAACTTAGACATTCAAGTAACGGATTAACCATTCCTTCTCCTCATTGAAACACAAGCACAGAACAACATCCAGTTTTTGCACCGTGTATGAAAGACACAGCATTGGGAAGAAAGGGCACTGTTGTGAAAAAGAAATGGTGTTTGTCTTCTGCAGCACAACAGAGATCAAACAGTAGAATACAAAAAAAGCCTAAGAACAATCAACAGGAAGGACACACGGCTTCCAGCCATCATTGACAGTAGGACAGAATAGAGGGTGGAGCTGCAACACATCACAGAGAAGGAAACGAGCAATCATCGCTGCACGGACATAGAAGAGCTTCTTTTTGTAGCGTGTCTTTCTATATGGAGTTACACTTGAATGTAAAGTGAAAAAGGAGTAATGCAGGTGTGGTCGAAAGTCTATACAGACTGTGAAAGCTTTCACATTACAAATATTGAACCTTGCCAGATTAAATAATGAGACAAGCAGACGGCCCGGTATGGCTCCTTTCCTGCATGTAAGTCCCCACTCTCTCCCTCCCTATAACTTCTGACTCCGCCCACTGTCCTATCTCTACAATAAAGGCCTACAAATCCCCCAAAATAAACCTTTTAAAATGCAGAATGGGACTGTAGTTCTCTTGCTGTTTATCTGATCATGTATGTAGATCATTTTCCTCTCAGGCTTCAGGGCTTCTTAACTCATATAGTAGCATTGTTGTGTCCCCCGCCCTCAGGAAACTGGCTGCAATTTCAAAATTGCTGGAAGCCAAAACCTCCCCAACCCGACCTCCTCCTCCTCTCCTATCTGATTTTCCTCTTGCACCGTTCTCAGGGAGTCTGACTGAGCACAGCAGGCCTCGAGGCGCTGTCTGACATGGCAGCTGTTTAGGAACAGGAGTGCATGTATTAGATGGTAGTGTTGTGTGTGTGTGTGTGTGTGTGTGTGTAGGAGGCTGATTGCAAAGGTCAGGAGCTGATGCATACAGAGAGGCTGCAGAATCTGAGAGTGGAGGTTTCAAATGAAAAACACATTCTGTTTCATCCTCCTGTTTAGTTTTTTGCAGCGAGAAGCTTATTGAAAATTCACAACTGGCATTAACATTTTATTTTGTTTTTGCTTTCTTACAGAGTGACAGATTGTCCAGGTAAATTTTCAACCCCATTCATATATATATAATTTTTTAGCATTATTCCTTTTATGTCTTCTTCTCTTTGTTCCCTTAATTAGAAGAGCCTGTTATTATCTCTTTACAGCACTTCATCCGTAGATCGTAATGATGCTCTTTTCAGTCGTGGCTATGGTGAGAGTCGGAGGACGTATTCGAGCCGGCTGGATAGAGACGACACCACTGACTATAAGAAGGTATGAGAACACGTTATAATCCTGACTGTCACAGTTTTCATGATTAGAAAGAAAAGGTGTAACTTTTTTTTTTTTTCGTACATGAAAGATATTTTTACTCCAAAATAAATTGTTCACATCCATTTTTTTATTCAGCACGTCTTTTTAGCCGTCCACCTGTCAGGGGTTACATTTCATTCAGCCGATTAAAAACAGCCTTGCTGTCACACAGGTGTGCCTTCAGCCTGCCACAGTAACACCTCCAATAAAATGTACAAAACACAACGCGTTGCCAAAGATGACGTAGATTTAGAGGGAGGCTGCAGGTGGCTTCCTTCCTGCAGGAGTAATGCCAGGAAAATGAGTAACAGAGCTGCAACAATAAATCAATCATGTGTCAACTATTAAATGAATCATCAGCTATTTGGATGATTGATTAATTAGACTGATTATTCAGAAAAAGTCAAACTGATTACAGCTTGTATCTTAACCCCTCTAGGGTAATGAACTGATAGTTATCTTTACTTTGTGGACAAAACCAAACATTTGAGGGGTTCCTTTGACGCTTTAGGGAACACTGATCTTGATTATTAGCAGTTTATTGGATGCCCGTCTACCTCAGGGATCAGTGCATGCACATCTCAACGTAGACTCAGTTCTGTATTGCTTCGTCAATATTGTTTCTACAGGTTTTAATCGAAGTGTAGAAATGAGAATACGTCATGGATGGAATAAATTGACACTCGTTGACTTACCCTGTTGTCTCTCCCTGCAGCTCTACGAGCAGATCTTAGCTGAGAATGAGAAGTTGAAGGCTCAGTTACGTGACACAGACCTGGAGCTGGCAGACTTGAAGCTACAACTAGAGAAGGCCACACAGGTACACAAAAAATCCCAGCGCTCCAGACAATCAGCACTGAGTGAGGACTCCTGATGAGCTTTACCTCTGTTTCTTTTTTTCTTTTTCATCGCAGAGGCAGGAACGCTATGCCGACCGATCACAGCTTGAGATGGAGAAAAGGGTAAAGACACGACTACTTTATCAATGCAGCCCTTTTACATCACATACCTTTTACTTTAAAATGTTTAACTTGTATCTCTCTAAGATCTCAGACTGACTATAGAGCAGAAGTGCGTCTTTCTGTCATTCTTTAAAAACCCATCCTGCTGTAAACATGCTGGTAACACTACCAATGGGTTTATGTCTAAAGGTAACAAGCAGGCCCCAATTTCATCTGGGTGGTGGTATGATCTAAACCTGAGTTCTTTTTTTTTTTTTTAATCTTCTGCTGCTTCCTGTCATGTGTCACATGTGCCCTTATAGCCCGGGGTCAAAGGGGGAGGGGGGGGGGTGCTTTCCTCCCTCTCTCCTCGCCCCCCCCAGAACACACTGCCACCTTCTCTCTCTCACCTGTTTTTGACCCTCAGAGGGCAGCGTGTGGTCACCTTTTCTCAAGCTTACTGTGTGTGGAAAAAAAAAGTGTAATATAAATTATGCAGAAAGTAGAACAATTGTAGTCTTTACATTTGCTGTTGGAAGAACCCGTGCATGTGTGTGTGTGTGTGTGTGTGTGTGTGTGATTTGTCATGTTTTCACTCTCTGTTTTTTTTAGTAATCTTGCTCTCTTCATCTGTGCAGCCATGAAACCATAACCTCCTTCTTTTATTACATCATTGATTCGTCTTAAGCCCCATTCCAGACCATCCTCCATGTGTCATTTGTCTTCACAATCATCATCACTTACAAGAATGTCCTTTTTTTTTTTTTTCCACAAAAAAAAAAGACATTGAGTCCTCTGTTCATGATTCATTTCATAACCTTTCCATCCAACACGACCTCTAAGCGTCTTTCTCGACATCATTGTTTTAAAACCTCAATGATTGTCGAGGTTAAAATAAGCTGAATGAGTGCATCATTCCTTTTTAAGAGCCTCAGTTTTACACACATAGATAAAAGAGGGAGAGGGTGTAGCCACCGTTATGTAAACAGTTGGTTTAAGGACCATTCTTTTGACCCCACAGTTTATTCTGACATGCCAAAAATGACCCATATTTAGACTGAAGGGTGGAGCTGGGAAAGAGCAACGGGGTTAGTGGAGGTGTTAGCTAAAGCTATCAAACAAAAGCAGGCTCTGAAGTTCTTATTGGACCGCTAGCAGAGAGTTTTACAACTCCACATTATTTAGTCTTTTACCTTTCAAAGCCACAAGCTAGGGAGGTGCTGAACAGATTTGTAATTGATGTTTAAGGCAGCCAATAGCAGCCAGTTTCAGAACAACACAAACAAACCATAGCTTGATATTTGCTAGCTCACAGGTTCTGTGCAGGACAGACTTCAGAATTCAAGATTTTCATTAAAGGCAAAGAAAGTAAAAGTCCCTGAGAGCAGGAGGAGTTGACTTTCTTTATGTCACCCAGGAAACGCTCAACTTAAAATGTTATTTCCCACAAAAAAAAACAATTTTTTTAGTTTTAGGTGATTAAAAAAATGTAGGTTTACGGCTTCACTTTTTTCAGAACTGGAGGTTACATCCACTCTTTTTTTTCTCAGTCTGTGTGTTTTCATCCCTACATGTATCAATCCAAACTGGCTGTTGCTTGCAGACCCCCCCTCACAAGCGTTTGTTCATGTGTGAGTGTGTGTGCTGTCACTACACCCTCACCCATCTTCCACACCTCGTGCAGTGTGTGCAGAGTCCGCGTCAAGTCTATTTCTCTGCTGATTGTCTCCCAGTCCTCAATTAACCCTTGTCCCCCCCCCCCCCCCACCCTGCAGGAAAGAAGAGCTCTAGAAAGGAAGATTTCTGAAATGGAGGAGGAACTTAAGGTAGCACAAAACACACACAAACACGCATAGTGCACTACCATGTCTGGTTCTGTAGATTTCCATTAATGGAGTCAGAATCCCAGCTAGTGTGGAGGTGGTACGTGTGAGCTCCGACACAGTGCCAACAGCTGTCACTTCAGTCAGTGTCTATATTTATAAATCTGGGTCCCTTTTTTGTGTTTCATAGAAGTCGTGATCTCCAATGTTATTGTGCTTCAGATCATTTATTTATATAGCCTCAGTGGAAGAACATCTAAGTCACTTCAATACTTAATTGAGACGAGCAGCAAAAACTCAGACAGCAGACTGTTAAACCAAAATACTTGCTGTTCTTCTCAAGATCACAATACTTGCTGCTGTTTAAGAATATGACATTATGGACAAGAGAACTCCCTGTTTGGGTGAAAGTTTAAGTTTCCTTAAAATAGTATGATCCCTAAACCAGCTGAAGGAAAGTATAAGATGCCACAGTCATCAAAAGTGTTACTTGGTGTTGTACATATGAGCTTTAATATCTACAAAAATGTGTTCATACATTTGTGGTTCTGTTGCCTAAAAAAGAGAGGGAGTGCGTATCCTCTGCTTAGCTCACTATTCTGCGCTCTACAGAGTGGACAAAACAAATAAAATATGGATGGCGCTTTTGAGTTCAGCATTAGTTTTCTTTTTCGGTTATCAGTAAAAGCAATCTGCAGCCTCACCACTAGAGGCCGCTAAATCTTACACACTGGCTCTCTAAAGCAGAAAAAAAAAAAAAAAAGAGGATGAATCAGCTGGTGGATACAGTTACTCATGATATGATGACACCTGTAATTCTTGGCAGCTTTAGAGATTATTCGATCTGCTTCCTGCCGCGCAGACGTCAGGGGAGATCAACTGTGGCGGCAAAACAAGTAACAACCGGTCCTACTTTCCACCAGTGGGGCCGAATAAACTGACTCAGAGACACTCATAAATAGACACAGACATCAAATGTTGCACATTATGTTATCTAATGTTGCTCATATGTAAATATGAAGTCCTCAAACTGTGCACTCTTCGGATGTAATTTGATGATTGACACAGTTTGAAGTGTGCTTCATATGGGGTCTTACCTCCTTGTTGGACTTAATGAACTTACCCTGTTCAGAGCACATCTCGGGTCCGCTCTTGTAATCTCTGGTGACGGCAATTTACACACTCCTTTCCTTTAAAATGTGAGAGGACAGACCGGGACAAAAATCTCTTAAATTCTATTAATGGAGTGTTGTTCCCATGACTGCGATAACAAAGTGTGTTTATTTTTAGGTGCCAGAAAGCTGGCCGATCTTATCAGTGTCACTTTGTTTCCCCCGTTCTATCTACGAGACAGAAAAAAAAGAAGCTCTTAATCATTCCTTCCAAAGTCTGTCCCCATTTTCTAACAGTCTTCCTTTTTCTGTTTCCCTTTTGTTTCCCTCTCTTCTGTTAATTTTCGCCGTCCTGTCTTTCATTAATCCTTCTTTTGACACACATTTCCTCCTCCTCCTCTTCCTTACATTCTTTCACCCTCCTCCCTCCCCTTTCTCCTTTTCTCTGTTCTCCTGTGTTGTGGTTCTTGTCCCCCCTCCCCCTGCAGAACCTCCCCCAGGTAAAGCAGGTTCAGGCCCTGCGGCAGGTCAAAGAGCGGCTGCAGGCTGAGAACCGGGCGCTGTCCCGCGTCTTGGCAAAGCTCACACAGTCCGCCTGCAGCCAGCTGCCCTCCGTCGACCTCTAAAGCCACGTCCGTTTGTCCACCACCATCTTCCCCCTCCTCCTCCTCCTCCTCTTCTTCTTCTTCTTCTCCTTCTTCCTGTTCTTCTTCACCTTTCCCCTCCTCCAAACCTTCATCTTCTCATGCTCCATTCGTGCTCTGCCCGCACCCATAGACAGGCAGGTTGCCCAGCCGCCCACTGGTTTTTGTAAACTCCCCTCTGCCTCCCCAGAGCTTTTGGTTTTTCAGATTGGGGAGGGTGTCTTTTTTTACAACAGGACACTCTCCTTTTACAGTACACATCTGGCAGGTTGTATTTGCACCAATCAGCTTATATACAAACAAAAAATAATAATATATATATGATGGAATAATCACCAGCAAAAAGCCTCATGTAAATTTAATTTCAGACCAAGACATTTCAAAATGTACCAGACTCCACACCAACACCTGCAGTACTGTACAGGAAAGTGTCCTCTTTGTAGTTCCTAGATGTGACGCTTCCTTCAGAAGGAGCTCAGTTGTTCAGTTTGGCTTGATCTGGCATCTTTGCATGAAGTGGCTTCATTATTTGGCATCAATTTCTTTTGGTCCAAATCTTCAGAGACTGAATCTTAAAAAATGTTTTGTCCTTCCCCTTCTTTCGTTTCCTCCCCAAATTTGAATTTGACTGATGAGCAATCAGTCAACGAGGATAAAGTTCGGCTGCATGCACCTTCTGGTTTTTATGTGGAGGTGAAGCATTGTGCCCATCAGAACACGAGGATATGTGAACAATGAATGGGAGTGTGTTTCTTTCAGGGGACGGAAGCCTTTCTTGTGGTATAACGGAGAATCTGCGGAAAAATGATTCTGACAAAAAGTTTCTGTTTATTTTGTTTAGTGAAGTTTAAAACATCAGTTAGTAATCATGAGCTGGTTTCACACATGCACTCCCCCCCCCCCCCACACACACACACACACACACACACACACACACACACAAAGAAACATTTCTGGCAATTTTCAGGGGTTTTGTGCATGTGTGAAAGCAGCTCTTGAGAGGGATTTAAGGCATCGTCATGTTGTAAATGATCTGCGTTGTGTCACCTCTTCAGTATTTGAACAGGGAGGTCTTTTTAGGAAATCTGGATTACTGATTGGCTAAGCGTGAACTTAGACACTGCTGTATCTAGACAGGATTTATAAGAGCAGCCTTTAAAGTAAATGTTTGTTTCCTTGGACCTTCCAGCTGCACACAGTATTCAACATCTGAAAACAAATATGCACTATCAAAAAAAAAAAAAAAAAAGTGACTTTATTCTCTCTGCTGTGCATCTTTCTGTCTGCCAGAGAGCAGCCGGTTGGACTATGCATGGCTTTCTCAGGATCTTTGGCCTGTGGTGTGCCTGCTTTTTTTTTTTTTTTTTTTAATCTCTCTCTCTCTCTCTTGGTTAAAGGATGTTTGTCTTTTTTTTTTTTCTTTTTTTAAATCGAACAAAACAAAACCTGAGAGATGCTGTGTGACTCCCAAGATTTGCTTTACACAGGCTGCAATTAACACATTTGTCAAACTGGCCTGACTGGTTTAATGACAAACACGTCGATGTCCAGACTTGTCTAAGCCTCCTCTCTCTCTCTCTTCTCTCTCTCTCTCTCCTTCTCTCTCTCTCTCTCTCTCTCTCTCTCTCTTTTTGTTTCTCTCCTTTCAGATGCTCCCCGACTTGAAAGCCGACAACCAGAGACTAAAGGACGAGAACGGAGCGCTCATTCGAGTCATTAGCAAGCTTTCCAAGTAGAACACACCCCCTTTTACACCCCAAACCCCTGTCTTCTGCACCCCCCTAGTCCCCCCCCCATGGCAGTGACTAATGGATTGCACATTTAGATATTAATTGCAACAGACATCAGAGACAAGACTCCTTTTTTATTCTTTCTCTCCTTATTGCTCCTTATTTTTTCCCCTCCTCCACCGCTGCAGCATCCTTCCCTCCCTCCCTCCCTCCTCCCTCCCTCCCACCATCCATCCTCCATCCTCATCTATACTCCACTCGATTGAGTCCCGGTAGAACCACTGAGTTTACAGAGCTAAAAAAAAAAGACAAAAAGGGGTCGTGTGATGAGCATGTAAAAGCATCGTCTGGGGCGGGAAAAAGCCTGAGAACTATTTAACCAATAAGCCTTAGTTGTACATAAAGAGAAACACACTGCATCGATCTCTTCTTCTCTCGGCTATCACTGAACGACAGATATTATCCGACACCTGATTTTATTTGTGCCACAGTCCCTCTTTTTTTTTTTTTTTTTTTTGTTCCTCGTGTGCTGTGCGGTTTCCTCCCTCCTTAAAGTGCCACTTCTCCTTTCATTTTTTTGCCCCCTATATCCACTCCTTGTGGCCCCCTTTTTGATTTTGATTTTTCCCACACATACACACACACACACACCCTCTCCTCCATTTTTTTTTTTTTGTACCTCTGTGTGTCTTCCTCCAAGAGGGAAAAAAATATTTGAATTCTCGCTTTAGCGAAAAGAGGCGGACCTGGTGGAATTTAAGCTTTCACTGTATGTGCAATATGCATTTCTTTTCTCTCTCTCTCTTTTTTTTTTTTAATGCTTTAATGATGAGTCCATCACACGTAGGATTTTTTTTTTTCACTCTTCCACCGCTTCCATCGCTCACCTTCCTCCTCTTTTTGTTTGTTTTGTTTTAAGTTTGTAGTGTAGTCAGTTTATACTCTGTATTTCTCACTTTTTGTTTTAGCAGGTACTGAGTGACGCTGTATATACCTGTATGTATTTGTTTGAGACCAGCACATGGCATGCGTTTATGGTTCCCGTCTGTTACTATTAAAAAGTATACAAATTCCAGAGGACAAAAAGGTGTGTTTTAATTCTTATTTGTTCTTTTTATAGTCTAAAAAAAAAAAAAAAAACCATTGGACACAGAACAGTAGAGCCGCTCTCTTACACGGGGAGAGGCGGCAGTGTTCAATGCTTTTCTTCTTCTTCTTCTTCTTCTTCTTCTTCTTCTTCTTCTTTTTATTTTCCAGTTTCAAAATAAGTGTTCACATAATTGTGAGATTAAAAAGAAATAATCGCTTCACTACATTTCACTTTCATTGTATCCAATATCTTGGAAGAGTGCTATTAATTTTGTTTCAGTTTTTTTTTTTTTCTTTTCTTTTTTTTTTTTTAAAGCTGTAGTATTATAGCCGAGGTGTTGTCACTAAAAACATGAAACAGAATATCTTAGGTATCGCTAACCCAGTCCTTTTTACAAATGTCTACATGCACTGTCGATGCCATGTGAGGAGTCTTGATGTCAGGTTATAACGCAACTATCGCCACCGTCAAATATTTCATGCATCTGAAAACCATTTTATGCATTTCCGTGGCCTTTTAAGGATATTTTAGTATAAAGAAAAAGTTACTGCAGATGGACTGATGACCATCTTCTCTGGTTTAGACTTTTTTTTTTTGTTTTGTTTTTGTTTTTCTTTATTATTATTATTATTTTTTCCCGTCATCTTGTAAAATAGGTGTGTGGCTTAATACATGCAAGCTGTGCTGTGACTACCAACCACTGAAGAGTTCATTAAAAATAAACTTGTACATTGTAAAGTTCCCACGTCTGATTCTTTTTATTTATCCTTTTTTGATATTTATCTCACTAATCTCCTTTTGGTTTTCAGAAATTGGGGTTAAATGTTTTGCCCAAGGCTGCAGGAGTGGGGGATCGAACCCGTGGCCCACTGGTTGGGAGACGACCGACTCAACCACTGAGTCACAGCCACTCAATTAGCTGCCATGGAATAGTTATCCTAAAAGAAATTGAAGGTTTATTTTTGGCCTTTTTAAGAGTTTATTTAGAAATAGGACAGGCGAGTCAGAGATCTGCTGCTACACTCAGTCAGACCAGTAGATGGTGCACACATTTGCAGGCAGTATTTCACTGTGAAGATATGAGGCTGTGTTAAACTAGTGTGCAAACAATTCACCCTCTTTTCTTTGAATTGACCTTATCCCATAGTTACATGCAGATGTAACGGCACGTACAGAAACACTAAGCTTATATGCAAAAAAAAACTAGACATGCAGGGGCAAGAGTCTCCACTCCCATTAAGTCTCATGAGCTTCACATTATAAAGTCAGAGCTCTTCACCTAAAGTCACTGTCTCTTCAATATTAACAGAGGTTACTGTAAGTTCAAATATGCATACTTTAATTCTATTCATTAAGGATTAAGTATGTCCCAAGACATGTAAAACTAATGCAGTATGCTTAATTAATAAAACCCCAGCATCTCCTTCTTCATGCACTGGTTTACAGAATGCAGAATTTTTAACCCCCCAATCATCTGCACACAGCAACCAATAAGCTTCTCAAATGTCTTTATTGTTTTATATATCTATGGCTGCCATCAATATTCAAATGTATGCAAGAGTATATGCAATGAAAGAATACTTGAGGTCAAAGTGTAAGGTGGAATAACATGACAAAGAAGTGTATGCATACTCAAAAAGTAAGTGAATTAAAACATTGAAAAACCGTTTGATTTGAGATGCAGAAACTGTCTCATTGCAGCTCTGCATCAAATACAAATCCCGGACTGCTCTCCTCGTCTTCCTCGAGCATACAGGTGTTTTCACACAGCATGTGACTGTTCTTTTTTTTTTTTAATCCCAGAAAGCAGCAGATTTTAGATTAATTTAGTGCAGTACGGGGTTAAAAACAAACTGCTCACACAACTTAAAGTGAAAGAAAATGGGACTATTTCCACATCTTAACAAGAGCGATTTAAAAGACTGATTGCAGACTTGATCTTTTCTTTTGCAGTATGTGTCGCTCATCGCTCACCAGTTGTGACTTGCTTTGTAAACCTGTGATGAAAGGCTCCAATATTTAGATTTTCGGCTTTTAGGGATAAGCGCTGGTATCTGCAATAATTGCCCCGAGTCATGCAAAAGTGTTTGGCTTCTCAATTTTCCATTGCCTCAGTGCGTGGTTAGGAAGTCTGGTTTGTGTCTGTGCTGTGATATGGACACGCTTCCTCAACCGTCCCGAGCACAATGTCTTCATCAGAACGTGGACAAGGAAAAAAAAAAAAAAAACATCTCCCCCAAACAGATTCCCCGGACTCACAAAGTGACCGAGCACAATTATAGTAACGAATGGTTTGAATTAATTCTGCTTTTGTGTTTTGTTTGCTTGGCTCTAAGGCAGAGAGGGCAACATGAGGTGATTCATCTCTTGTCACTTTACTGCTACATACCTCATTGTGTTCAGATGTTTAACCTGCAATTTCTTATTCCACACCTGTTCCAGATGATGAATGATCCTCTGCAGGTTTTCTTCTACACTTTGGTTCATTCAGTTGGAGGCAGATTCATGTATTGTGAGTTTGTCCACCTGGGAAGTCTTAAAACTGCATTTGATCATTTTCATTTTCTCTTTTAAAGATCTAAAAATGCTCCTGATTGCTGGTCGCTGTCCTTGAATCCTGATTCGCTGCATGTGCTTCTCCAGGCTGGAAATCATCCATAAATAAGGAATTAGATTTTGGCAACTGCTGTCACACCGCACAGAGACACTCTAACTGCTCATTTTTATTTCCACTACGGCCTAATCTCCCTCTCTCATTTTTAAAACCCAACCACACACACAGTCGACTTAGACACGGTGGAAGAGCAACACCCTCCACAGTCAGTCGGCGTCGGGTTAGTCGGGGACAAACAGCAGCAGGGGTTTCTCTGCGGTGACAAACATCACGGTGAAGTGAGAGCTCGAGTCTGTCGCTGTCTGGAGCTGAAACAAAGACAAACACTCTGAAAGAAACCAAGGATTTGTCGTGGATGCTTCTTGGAAAAAAAAAAGAAAAAAAGGATGTAGAGGCATCTTCAACTTTCTGACTGCAGCTTTTAAATATCCTGTGCTGAAATGTGTCACACAAATACTTCAGAGTTCAGTCAAGGAGAGCACAAACAGGCTAATTGATGTGTTAGAATGATAGGTTCATGGATCAAAGAGCAGGCTAATAGAAAAGTTATTAACAGTGGTGACATTTTAGATCATATGGAAAACAAAGGGAAACGGCAAATGCAAGTATATACACATATATATCTAATTAAATATCACAGTTCACCCATAATAACAACATAGATGATTGAACAAAACAGATTAAGTATACAGGTAGATTTTGTTAAAAAACCGAGAGCAAAAATAAAAAACAACAAAAGCGGACAATACAAATCTTTAAAAAGCTGTGTGTGCTATTTATAGTAAGCCGCTTCTGTGGCACTTCTTCTAAAGAACATTTCAAATGTCCTGCCTAAAAAAATGACTTTTCTTCTCTTCATAAAAGAAATTGAAGAGACTCCGTCATGTTCCACTTCTATACAAGTGTCCTGATCGCAATTTTAAAAAGTTTAAATCATCCTTTATTAGACAAAGAAATCGTATCATGAAATGTACCTTTGTGTCAATCAAATGAGATTGACTTCCATGCTTAAGCAGAATATATTTAACCTCTCTGTTAATACTCCAGGCCTGTCTGCAGCAGTGTGAATCTGCAGAGCTGCTGGCCTTCTTTCCATCTGTGGGAGAAACAGTGCTTCTATACTCGCTTACTCTTGGATAAACAATTTCATGGGGGAGCGGGCTCCTAATTGAGGCTCCATCGCTGCAAGATTACCCTCCTATAAAAGCCTTTGACTGGAACACAACTGTCAAATAAATGAAAACGTGTCAAAGCAAGAGCGGCTAATATACCAGCGTTATATTTGATGTGCATTTCAGGTTACTTGCTGTGCTTATTTAACATTTTTCCACTTTACTGCAAACGTGTTCGGGGTTTACAAAATGCATCTTAAAGGATGGTCTGAATCTTAACATTTGAGTAAAAATGGAAACTAAGCATGCTTCCTTTGAGAATCCATTACAGGAATGCTAAATGGGATTAAGTTTATGTTGGCATGGAGGAAAACAATCAGCGACAGCCCCTTTGTGCCCCCTCATTCCTCCTCCAAGTGCAGACAGAAATATGCTAAATATGCAGCAGTGTGACCCGGGTGCAGAGATTTATTTTTAGTTCAGGTGAGGCCTCACTCTCTCCCTTTTGCGCCACCCAAGTTTTCTCATTATCTGCAGCCGGGTCGTCACATTGCAGAGATAACGGCAGAATGTGGATGTTCGTCATATTTTTAAGCAAATAGGTCCACAAGCACGCACACGGCCTCTTTTTCTTCGATATTTACACGGAATGTTAAACTTACCTGAAAGTCAGTGCACCCTTGGGAGGCTTTTACGCACACAAATCTAACCCCATAAGGCCTGTACCTTTCAGTGAAGTGAACTTATAGCGCCGTTATCCTTTCATGGAATTATCCTTCTGACAGTTGAGCAGCTTTAAATCACCGCACGGGGAGAAAGCTCCTCGTACTGCGAGGTAATGGCACAAAGCACAAGGATGGAATATCGCTGGAAGGCCGTGCAGAGTTACTACGTTGGAGTGAGGAGTTGCAGTGTGTTCGATTCAGTATATTCAATCTCTCTAAACTGGGATCATAACACAGGAGAGAGCCGCAGAGGGAGGTGTAATGGTGATACTGATTATGTGACTGTTTTTAGAAACTGTTAAAGCCATTCTGTGTATGGTTGTCGTTGTTCCTTTTATTTGTTTTAAGACATTTTTAAATAAAAATGGAGTTTCTTTTTGGACCCGTCCTCCACTATTTGTCTGTTTTCGACTCACTCTCCGTCGTCACTTCCGGCACTCCCCCTCGGTTGTCCTGCTTGGTGCTCTGCCCACTGACCCACTGACCACGCACTGCCCTCCCATGTTGCTGACCTTGTAGTTTTACTCCCTTTACTAGCGAGGCGTGCTAATTTGCTGCCACTGGAAGAGACCTCACCCCCCCCCTCTCATACCACGTAGATAAAGGACGCCCTGTCCTTTATGAAATTAGAAAAAATATGAAATACTCTCTCAGAGAATTTGATGCAAAATGTACCAAAATGTGGCTATCCTTTACGGAGCATGTTAAATCCCTCCTACTGGAAGCCGTGCCCTTTGACCGAGTGACCTCTGACACTTCTCCTCACCTACATCACACACTTCCTGGTTCTGAATTTTCATACTGCAGTTTGCAGTTTTCTGTTAAGAATCAAAACATTTGATCAAAGTTAAAATAAGACAAAAGTGATGCAAATAAATCTTTTTCTATTGAACTTTTACTGTTTTATCCATTCCTTTTCATGGTAAGAGACTTTTTTATTGTCAAATTTGCAAAAAATACAAAATAACTTTTGCCTGTGCATATGTATGTTAAATCTGAAGCATATTTGTATAGGCCTGGATTAACTGAAACGACATTTAGGGTGTTTTTGTTATCTAAAGGGCACAGTATGGACGTATGGAGGTGTGCAGGAGGTTTCACTGTTCTTTCTTTTTCCACCATAGCAAACAAAAGTAGAAATAAACCTGTCAATCATATCGTGCTGTCCTCAATCTCCCCTGTACCTGGAATGACGGGTGTTCGTGAGCATGTGTGAGATGAGATGAAAAAGGAGTCTCTTCTCTGATCAGAGCTGGTTGGGTGAGTCATGCGGCGCCTAAGGGAGTCGGTCTGTGAGATTTGGGTGGGAGGCGTTAATCTTCAACAAAGTCTTCAGACTGTGTGCAAAATATTTAAAGTTTAGAGGATTACAACTGGGTTACATTTTACACCTTAACATTTAAACAAGAAGGTATTATGAACTCTATGTCAGTAGTGATAAGACCAACAGATTGCTTTGAATTCTCTGCAATCACGAGTAAACCTTGAAATTTCAGCATTAAATTAGCAGTATCACTGATTGCACATCTCCCTATGTCAATACTGTCCATTTACAACTCTGTTTTTGCACATTTACATTTAATCTTTCATATTTTAGACTAGTAATGCTAAGTTAAATCCTGGTTGTATATATTCCCATTCTTAGTTTTGATATTTTTTAATGCTTATTTACTTTGTATTTAATATTATATTATGTTTAGATTTGCTAATATTGTGTTTTTTTTGCTAATATTGTGTGTTTGGACAACCTGCTGCTGTAATTTCCCAGTTTGGGATCAATAAAGTAATTATATTCTATTCTATTACATTAACTCAAAACCGATAATCATAATAATAAATGATTAAATGTATTGTACGGGTAACAGAAATACCGTGAAACTTTCTAAAAGTACCAATAAACCGTCTTGAAACGAGCCTTAAAGGACTTTTTCACAGCCTTCATTTAACAGCCGAGCTCTGTCTTTGCTTCGGCTTCAGTTCGGATTCATTCGTTAGTTTCCGGATTCACCCGGCGGTGCCAGAGGGCAGAGCACGAGCGCAGCGCCCGAGACAAGCGCCATTCATCAGAGCGGAGCACGGATACACCTGGTCACACCGGAGAGAGCACTTTGGTGACTGAAACAGGTGAGTTTGCGCCTCAATTCAAACTTTTTTTTTTTTTTCACTCGTGTTTTATCAACTTTAGAAGTCTTTGTGCAACTTTTACGCGAGGACGAATCTTTGGAGATACGCGGAAAGTTGCACCTCCAACAGTTATTGTTTACGTTGACACAAATGACGTAGAGACAAACTCCAAAGGTTTTGAGAAAGTGCCAGAAAATTGAAAGTTTGTTTCCGGTGTGGCTGACTTTACTGTCCTTCTACCTGTCAACAGCACCCCCCGGGTTAATCTCTTGAGGAATGCGGTGCCATTAGGACGAGAGCTGAGACCTAAAAGTTTTTTTTTTTTTATCAAATCAAACTTTAAGAGAAGGTTTTAACACGTTTACGGACATATAAAGGGATAATGGCAACAGGAGGATTTAAGTCAAGTCCCACGACAGACTTTTTAGAGGAATGGAAGGCTAAACGGGAGAAAATGAGAGCCAAAATGCTGGGGGACATTGCCGCAGCGACTGGTGCTCCCTTGGGTGCTCCTTTGGGTGCCAGCAACACAAACAGCAGCAGCAGCAGCAGCAGCAGCAGCAGCCGCCACGCTGCTCCACCACCGGGCAACGAGCTCACCAACAACCTGGAGCGAACCGCCTCCGCTGGAAACTTCCACCCGTCCTCCCCTCTGGTTCGGTCCTCCTCCGGCACGGCTCTAAAGAGACCCGAGGAGGAAACGCACCACCACCACCCCGCCGCCGCTGCCGCTGCCGCCGCCGCCGCCCTCCTCACCCCGGGGACCAACCTGAAGAAGGCCCCTCCTCAGCATATGGAGCCGGCTCAGTGTGTGTCCCCGGACTCCACCAGCCCCATGGCGTGTAATGACAGTGACAAGGAGAGTCCATCACCCAGCAAGGTGAAGGAGAAGAACAGCAGCGGCCCCAGTGCCAGGAAGGGGAAAGGGAAAGGGCAGATCGAGAAGAGGAAGATGAGGGAAAAAAGGAGATCAACAGGTGTTGTCAGCTTACCATCCAACGAGGTGAGTCAACCCAAGATGATGTTTTTTTTTTTTTTGTGTGTGTGTGTGAATGTGTCACTTTCAGCTGAGAGACCCACTTTCTCCTGGCTTACATCTCCACAGGGATTCCTGTAATTGTAGAACAGCTCTGTTGTTCAAGCAGGATAGAGGATTGTTTATGTTTCACAGAAGGTGAAGTGCTTTCTGTCGTTTAAGAGATGGAAATATAACTTTAAAAAAGGTCACTACAATTACAACATTCTTGAAAAACATCACTCTGTTGAATTAAGTTGATACATAAAGAGTTATGAGTGTGAAAATAGTGTTTAAAAGTGGGATATTTATAATATAATAACATTATTTAATCACATTTTTTTTTTTTAAATCTCAGACAATTTGAATTGATTAAGGGATTTATTCCAAAAACAGAATGTCACAGCTTATTCTAAAATAGTTACATTAACTGGACAGACTGAGAGATACGATAATACAAGACCAACAAATTTAAAGACGTTTACAATTCAATTCAATTCCAAAAACTTTATTTGTCCCCGCGGGGGCAATTCATGTCCTGTCATCACCACATGTGTGCCAAATGTTAACATGTACATTTGTGATAGGGTTCGATCAGCTTACAAGATTGGTCCTCCTTGATTTTGAACATAGAGTGGGCATACTTTTTTTATACTTGTGCTCACACATCTATAAATTACATATCTGGACATCCAAACACAGGCAGACGTATAGCAGCCAGTTCAGGGGTTACCTTTGGTGCAAGGTGACAATAACTTTTGAGACTGGTTCTTAAGTTTATGTTTGTTGCGCCCTTTTTAGGGTTAGTATGCACTGCTGTTATTTGGCCCCTCTCTTTATAACTTTATTCAAGTTAGGTTTCTTCTGAACAACTTGTACAACATGCTGGAACATGTTCTCCCTTGAGCACACTTTCCCTCAGTGCTGCAGATCCATCAGTATTTCACTTCTAAAAAAAAAAAAGTGTGGGGGGGGGCTGTTGTCCAGAAGTGTCCAAATTCCTCTCATACATGTGTCTGGTTTAATCGACCCTCCGTAGCGAGAGAAATGTAAGCAGCGCTCAGATGTGGGAAAGGAGGGTGAGAGAGAGAGAGAGAGAGAGAGAGAGAGAAAGAGAAAGAGAAAGGGGAGGGAGTGGTTGTCTGCTGCTGGTGGCTGGGGTTGGAGCGCTCATTGTTATTGAATTAAAGTCGTGTCACACTTGCCTGTTCCTGGTTCAGACACATGCAGGAACTCTGATATGAGGCTGTGCCTAGACAACAAGCACTCTTTTTTTCCTTTTTTTTTTTCTAATCACACACTTTAAAAAAAAAAAAAAAAGCACTCAAAATGTACACATCTGAATGTAGATAAAGTTTATTTATCAAGCTGATGGTGGTTTGATACATCACGACCACATTGCTTCCCATATTCCCAGTCTATCCCTCAAACCCGGTGCCCTCAGGGAAACACAACTTTGGAGTTTGACCAGCTCCTCGGTTGGCGCTCCACATCCTGTTATTAGGCGCTCAGCAGTGCCGAGCAAAGCCGTTTGAAAACTGGTCACATGCCAGGCTGTAATACCGGGCTTCAGCACTCTGGGCTGTGCCAGATACGTTAGATCGAGCCCATAGGCAGCTGATTATCGAGTAAAGTGAGCGAACAGACTATTACCGAGGGGGGGGTCATCTGATGAAGTGGTGAACTGATTTGTGTTTTGTGTGGCAGAGGGAAATAACTGGAAGCTTTGATCTCCACTGGAGTGCCCTGGCTTCAGTACGGTTTGTTGGAATTTCCTGGAGTCGGCTGCTTATCTGTGAGATAGCAAAATATGCCAGTAGTTGGAGTCCACTGAATGTCCAATGAATGTCCGATCACAAATACCAAATATGAGCAGGTGCAGTTTAATTTGAAGTTACGTAACAGTCGGTAAATCCTGAACTGTAATTGCAATAAGGAAAGTCTGAGGGTGGTTACTATGGATACAATGTTTAAATTGATCCTTAAATATTGCAATTCTGCTTTTTGTTGAGGGTCTCATGATGGCAAACTTTCTGTGATATCTTCAAAGATCCGTTTTTTTTTTTTCCAGAAGCAATGTTGACTCTGTTTGTTACAAGAAATATCATTAGTCATATCGTAGAGAAGTTCCGGCTTAGGTGACCTTGACCTCTTGGGCCCTGAGCCTATGGGAAGTATCGCTGTTCAGTCATCCACGTCAAGAAAAACACACTCATACAAGACCAGATTTAGCAACACGTATGATTCATTGCTTAGACAGTCGATTGATTTTTGGGTGCTGGTAGATGAGTGGTTAGTGCATGCGCCCCATATACAGAGGACATGGTTGGGACGGCCCGGGTTTGCAGAGTTAATATTTCACACTTCCTGCTCTATTGTCAAAGATGACTTCATTTTACGTCACGCATCGTCACTGAAATCTGATGTTCAGCTGAGTGTGGCTATTAACACCATGTTCCAGTTTTAAAATCTAGCTCTAATAACAGAAGCTTTTAGACTCTCAGATTATTGAATTGCAGTTCTGCAAGTTCAGGGAAATCAGAAAAAATAAACACAAATTCCCTTTCTCCCTCTTTTGCATATATTTGGGACCAACCAAACTATGCAAATGAAGACTCCCCCTCACACAAACTCCCTTTTGTGATGTGAATATGAGGGGACAGATGTGATTAGAGATGCCTGGGATTGTGTCCCCCGCTCGTTCTGCGGAGCATAATAGCTGCTGAACAGGATCTCAGAGAATCAGGGGGAACCCAATCTTCTGCCCGTTGAGGCCATAATGGCTCGATAAAAGCCTCATACTTTACTGAAGAATGGACACTTCTGCACAGCATCATTCTGTATGACCTCCTGCGCCCTGGGAAGGTGTCTCCTTTCTGTCACCCTGCTTGCTGCCTTGAGAATTAGGGGGGGGATTATTGTTGATACTGACCTTTGACCTTCTCACTACACGCTTATGCAACAGAGGAATGTGGAAACGAGTGTGACAGTGTGCGGGGGGAGGCTGAGCATCACTGTGTGGGAGCGTCGAGAAAATGTTTTGGGTTGTGATGTTAAGCATGTTTCCCGTCGGACACGCTTCATGCAGTCTGATGGTGATTCATGGGCAGCGTTTTATGACCATTGTGAGTTATGAGGCGGTGGTCACCCCCCCCTTTTTTTAAAGACGGCGTGAACTTTGTTTCATGTGGATTTTCTGAAGCTGCCCCAACAGAGGCGACTGCCGCCTGCGAGCGTGGAGCCTCACAGATATTTGTCTGCAGCGTCACTGAAGAGGTCAACAGGTTCAACATCCCATACAGTGCCGACTGGGAGCACTCAGGCCGTTAACACTCTGCTGATAGGAGGGCATGCCAGACAAGGGGGCTCCTTGTTTAGCCTGATCCTTGTCAGTCTAGCTGTTTCACATTTTAATGTCTTTATGGAAACTTTCATACAACATACATTCTCTCACTCGACCCCACAATCCCACTGGCATGTCAATGTTTAATAAGCCCAACTCTGTCAAACCCAAAGCCTTTATATGTCAGGCCCTTTAAAGATAGCTGACATTTGCCAAATAGATTTCACGCTAATGCTTTACATGTGCAGTCTGTAAAAGTACAGCCAGTAAAAACATAGTCTCTCAATATAAATATGTTATACTGTACATTTAATGAAAAGGCAGCTATTGGCTTGGACATTTTCAGTCTGTTTTTTTTCCTATTTTTAAAAACATGTGATTGGACAATGCATGCTGCAATGCGAAATGCAAACTTAACTGAAACTGTGACATCCCTTACTTAAGGGCAGTGTATGTCAATGCGTGTTGTTTCCTGTGAAGCGTTATGCCTCGTTGAGTTGGGAACTCTTTCATCCGCCTCCTGTGGCATAAATAAGCAAATTGCTTTAATTCAAACAGCCCTGCCCTGTCTGTGCTCTAATATGTTTCTGCTCCATTTTATTCAGTGCTGAAGTTCAGTGAAGGGTGAAGTCATACTGTTTGTTTGGAGATGGTCATGCCAAGAGCAAGTTTTGGACAACATCAGATCATGTTTTGCACCAGTACAGCTGGAGAAAACGCATGCTTTCACCCTGGTTTAATCAAGTAGATATTAAAGTGTGTATCTTGTTGCCAGTCTTAGAGAAAAGGGAGCTATGGGAGAAACTAAAGTCGGAGCTTTTTGTTGCACTATTGGTCCTTGTGGTAGGACTTTTCTGCTTTTATAGTTACCTCGAGTCGTTAAAAAAGTTATGTGAATCGCATTTGTTCAGTAGTGCAGTGCTGTGAATGTCGGTTTGATTCAGCAGCACACTAACATGGGAAAGTTAAGCAGTAATTGTCTTAACTACTAGAAAAGATGTATGAAATGAATCGTGACACTTTTTCTCTGCACAGCAAATCATTCAATTTGTGCATAACTATCCTGCTCAATCCTCGGTTTCACTCACATATAAAAAAAACCATCCAAAACTCACAGCTGTGCAAATGAATGCAAGAATGTTAATTTGCATGGCGTGAAGACGTGTTTTACTTGCTGTTTAAACCTTCTCCAAACAAGGGCACATCATCACAGCAAATACCACAGGGATTTACTCATGGACTTAAGTAGGCACAGAGCTATTTGGGCAGGGTGTTTTCTTTCCTTCTTTTCACTTGTTAGTTGAACAACAGGAATGCAAAACTCTTTAATTACTACACACGTGTGTCAGAAAGTGAAGTTTGCCGTGCTCTCTTATTGGACTGAACTCTGGATTGTTTACGAGAGGGCCACTGTCACTGCAAACGTTTCAAACTGGTGACGAACTGAGAGAAGAAAGTCCCCAGTTGATCCGCTCTGAGAAATGCGTGGGAAATCTGGAGGAGGAAGAAAGCGTTGCTCGTCCTCCTCTGCGATGAAGCCATTAACAGCTTGCCCCTTTTTTTTTTTTTCCATACAGACACCTGAGGGGTCTCTCAACACCTCATGAAACACCCAGCGCCCTCGTCATGGACCGTAGTACGTGGC